TCTCCCTGTCCTCCCCCTCCTCCTCCTCTTCCTCCTCCTCCTCCTGCTGCTGCTGCTTCCTTGCAACTAAAGTACTTACTAACTTCTGAAACATTGATTTGAACTTGAGAATCATGAGCAAAAACAAAGGCCAGAAGCTCCTTTTTTTTTTTTTTGCTACAGTCACTTTGTTCCTTTACTTCTCTGTTCATGTGATACCATCCATGAGGTTCCATCTCTTAGGTGGTCCCTGTATACTCCCAAAGGCATCTTCTTGATTATTTCCTTAGTGCCTTTACTTTTCTGGTCCCAAGATCATAGCTGGTCTGTGATTCAATTCTGCCAGATGACAGTAAACTAACATGATGACAACATTTTTCTTAAAAATGTTACCACCCCTTTGGTCAATATATATTTGAAGACTTACTATGTCTTTAATCTGTTCCAATAAACCCCCTCTCATAATGACACTAAAGGAGTGACATATTTAAAAGAAACTAATATAACCTTAGAAGGTATGGCTGTCATCACATAAATCTGTAGCTTCCATATTCAGTGAACATAAATCAGTGACATACATACAAAATGGAAATGCTGTGTCCTGCTCCTCTTTTGATAATGCCACCTTAATCTTAAGCAGGATCTTGGAGACTTCCTTCTGATCACACTGTGTGACTATCCTCTTGCTAGTCTCCAGGTTGTTTCAAAGTGAGTGGTGTGAGTTTTTCTTACTTATTTCTTTGAGTCAACAGTTGTACCTCCTGTACTCTGCAACCTGGACACTGCATAGGTGATTCCTCTTCTGCTGCATCCATCAGACTGTTGACAGTTTTCAATTTTTTTCATGTACATCATTCCAGTTGAACCCCAAAGAACCTTCCCTTCTTGTTTTGTGGGATGTCTGATATTATGGTCTTGGAAAATAGAAATAGATATGAACCAGAGAGGTAAATCAACCCAAACTTTACTCTCTCTTCCATTTCAAAAATCTCCAGAAAAAAATGTCTGTAAAAATCTGTTTAAAGATGGACACTGTGAAATTGCTCATTTGAATGATAGACTATAGATGTGTCAGATGAGTAATTCCCCAGGTATTGATATTATGATAAGGGAGCCAAAATAAAATCAGTTTGATATTTTTTTTGCTTGTATTTTCCTCCAACTCACCATTTCTTATCTCTCAACTTATGGAAATTTATCCTTGGAGTAAAAGGTAAGTATTTAGTATCCTGAATGTAGGGAGAATACATTATAATTTAATAAGCTAGGAAACCAACAACATGTACCTAACTCTTATTTCCCCTTTGTGCCCAGTTGGTCCACAATCATCTTTAGGCACTAAGATAACCTTTAAATGATAAAACACAAATTCTTCCTTCTGAAACCTCCATTTCCCTTATTTTAACAATATTGGGAGAAATTCTTGTGTTGCCATTGCTAGATGAGTCATAGATAAACCCCAGAACTTTGAAATTAAGTATAGATCATTTCAGGGGCCAAATAAAAAGGCTGGACAAAGCCAGTGCCTGGAGACAGTAAGTACTATACCCTTGCTTAGCTTTGAATTCAAAAAGACACAAAACCACCTGAGTGACTGTGATGGTGAAGTTCCACAGAGGTATGCGACAGATTAGAGAAGGAAACTAAAAAGCTTGTCTTAGGAAAAGGAAAATCTTTGGATTCTGTTTATGCATTAGCTTGTGAGCAAATGTCCCCAGTAAACTTCAAATAAACAACTGTTGGTGACTATTTATATCCCCGTTGTTTAGAAAAATAATATTCTTCCTATTAAAAGGTAATATTGTCTTTTAAGAATATTTGTATATATTATATTCATTGTTCTCTAATATATTTCATCTTTAATGCAGTTAGTTTCCCCTCCTCTCCTCTCTTTCCACTCTTCTCCCCCCACCCCATATCCCCTCTCCCCTGGATCCACTCCTCCTCCTTTCCCTTCAGAAAAGGGCAAGCATATTCTCCCCTCATACTAAGGTTGGATATAAGTAGGAGCAAAAGGGTCCCAAGAGCAGGCAAAAAAAGTCAGAGACAGGCTCTGCTCCCACTGTCAGGAGTCCCGAAAGAAGACCAAACTACACAACCATAACATATGCAGAGAAGGCTCCATGGTTGTCAGTTCAGTCCCTGTGAGCCACCATGAGTCCAGCTTAGATGGTTCTGTGGGTTTTTGTGAGTAGTAATGCTCTTAATCCCAGCACTCAGAGGAAAAGGCGGGAGGATCTCTAAGCCTTTGAGTTGAGCTTGATGAATACGGTGAGTTCTAGAGCACCCAAGGCTACTTAGTGAGACTCTGTCTAAACCTATTTGTGCGCTCAAGACACACACACACACACACACACACACACACACACACACACACACACACAGATCAGAGAATGTGATTCTGACCCTCATCCTGTTTCACATTAATGTCACTCTAAGAAAGCATGGGGTGATAATCTAGGGAATCTGAAATCTTAATTCTTGGTGAGTTGATTTATCTTCCAATGACTAACTAAGTTCCTTCTCTTTCATCTAGCAAGACCTAATTAGTACCATAGGAGAAAGTGCTGCATTGGGAGCTGCAGGCATTGTCATTTGGGGAGACATGAATTTAACTTCATCTGAGGTAAGTCAGTACCTCCAAAGGTATATTGTTCTACTTCCCTGTAGAGATTACTCTCATCAAAGCTCTCAGTATTCCCACAGCAAGCCAGATTTAGGGTAAAAGTCAAAATCAGTGCTTAGTTCTTAGATAGGCCTAAAAATATTAACTTTAAACTTTAATCATAACCCCAATTTGTTAGACTTTTATCATGTGCTGAGAGAATAAGGTTTCCTGTGTGTTTGTTTTGGATCTGCCCACTTATTGGTCATGTCTGCTAATGACTAGCCTCTTCATTCATAAACAAGAGGGGAAGCAAGTAGGTCAATAGCTAGTCAGGCTAGTTAGTAGTGAAACTATTGTTAACCACCACAGATTTTTGAGGTTGGGTCCCTTGCATTGAACCACTACATGAAACATCATATCCTATGTTGTATCCTATCTGAATAAGTAGAAAAAGATGCTAACTTTTTAATCTTCCTATTGAAAGTATTTTTTTTTCCTATGGAGAAGCCAGTGGGGAAACCAATAGTATTTAAAACAAGATTAAAATACCTTTTCACATATCTCCATGCTGAAATAGCATTTACTTCAAGAAATCTTCTGGCTTCCTTAAACCACACTAATCACAATCTCTTATTTTGAGTTGTTCTTTGTTTTACTTATCCAAAGCATTACAATAACACATTTAAGCCAGAGTTGTCAAGATTGTAGCTTCAAAATTTTGGGTTAAGTTGAAAAGAGACGTCTATGTTAATTTTAGTTTTAGAACTTTACTGGCTCAATTTATTACTATTGAGACATGGTTCAGGAAAATATTTGTAACTATGTTCACTGTATTAGTCAGTGTCCTGACCACTTCAACCTGGGGCAAGAGAGTCAGGGATAGGGAATGGGGACAAGAGACACAGAAAGAACGACCATAAGACAGGATTCTGATCAAGTGGCAAACTTTCCTTTTCTCAGACTAGCTTATATATAGTCAGGATATGGGGAGGAGCAGAATGTGTTGTTTGTGAACCAGTTGTTAGTATAGGCAGGATATTAGGAAGCCACAAAGAGGATGTTTGGCAGGGTAAAGAGTTCATGAGTAAGAGGTCCAAGAAGGGGTTGCCTAGGTGACTGAGCCTCTGGGTGGAGGACTGGGTCAGGTTGTTTCTTTTCTTGAGCTGAGGTTCTAAGGAGCTGCTATGTAAAGGTTAACTATGTGGCCTGCCAAGCATGGCCTAGGATCTCATGCCAAGCCCTGAGATTTGGCTCCCAACAAGTCAGGGTTATCTAGACTCTAGAGTCTCGAGGAACAGAACTTACAGAATGAGTCCATATGCATATATGTATTTATATATACATATATAAAGGAGATTTATTAGAATGTCTTACAGGCTCTGATCGAGTTAGTCCACCAGTAGCTGCCTACCAACAGCTTCAAGAATCCAGCAGTTGTTCAGTTCACGAAGCTGGATGTTTCAGCTGGTCTTCAGAAATATGTCAGAATCCTGAAGAAGTAGTCTCTGGTACTAGTGAAGGGATGGGCTGTTATTAGAGCAAGCAGGCAAAGAGAGAGTTAGCTTCCTTCTTCAGTGTTCTTTATAAAGGCTGCCAGCAGAAGGTGTGGTCCAGATTAAAGGTGGATCTTCCCACAGAAAAAGATCCAAATTAGAAGTGGTTCTTCCAGTTCAAATGATTTAATTAAGGAAAAAAATCCCTCACAGGTGTGTGCCCAGTTTTAGTTAATTCCAGATGTAGTCAAGTTGATAATGAAGAATAGCCACCACACACATCTGTGAGCATATTCAGAGAGCTGACTCATGGCTCATGAGGAAGAGTTTCATCAGGAAATAGTACACACAACTGAGGTAACATCTATGTAGAATACATACCAGAAAACACACACAAAGGACCTGTTGTTACCAGCTTTCCTGTATCTAGTTGTCCTTAGAAATGTAGAACCCATAGAAGGTTATGTTTAAGTATAATTAACCAAGAAGTCTAGAATGCTGCAGGTGGAAGGGTCTACAATAAATCTGAAATTGACAACTCAGGTTTTCTAACACAACTAGAAAGCACAACTCATCCCTGAGAGACAGGCTGCAGCAGCAGCTCTGTTGTTGGTTCTACTTTGTGTTTGTTCCTTTCTTTCTCACACTACTTATCACCTTGAGAGCTAGAAGGAAAAGAAAAGGATACATGAATTGAAGAAAGGCAAGAACCTCATGTTGACTCAGGCCACCTTGTTGGTTCAGTTACTTTGTCTTATTATAACATTGACTGCCTCTAGGGCCTTTCTCATTTCTGATCTGAGACCTTTGGGTGATAGCAGAGTCCAAGAGTCTACCCACTAGGACAAAGCCATCCAGTTTTACCCTAGTCTAAAGCGTTGCCTTCTGGGTCTAAAAATCTCTGATCCAGTTGTTTTTTTATACATTTTCAGGAGAACTGTACAAAGGTGAACCACTTCGTGAATTCTGATTTTGGGAACTACATAATCAATGTGAGCACAGCAGCTGAGGTGTGCAGCCATCACCTTTGCAAGAATAATGGGAGGTGCATACGGAAGACATGGAATGCACCTCATTACCTCCATTTGAACCCTGCAAGTTACCACATAGAGGCCTCTGAGGATGGAGAATTCATAGTGAAGGGCAAAGCATCAGAGGAAGACCTGGCTGTGATGGCAGAGAATTTTCTATGCCACTGTTACCAGGGATATGAAGGGGCTGATTGTAGAGAAATGAAAGAGGCTGATAGCTGCTCCGGGGTTTCCCTTTTCTCTAGCTCAGTTATTACACCGTGTCTGCTAGTTCTAGCAGGTTACCAAAGCGTTCAGTTGTGACACAAATGAGCTTAAAGGGAATTGTGTCCTCTTAAGTAGAGTGTTAGGGAAAAGATGGATTTCACAGTTCTTTCTTATGAGCTCCTCTGAGAGGTATTCTAAGTCAACGTAAGTGTCACAACATAAATAGGAACCTATTACTTTATTTGCTACACTTTGGTTAGAAACCGGATCCAAGAGAACAAAGTAATGTACATTGTTTTCTTACTTGAATATTTAAATTGTATTTAAATCAAATTTTATTCTTTTTCTAACTGTATACACAGAATGAGACAAATGAATATTAAGCTTATTGATTTCAAGGACATTTTCGAGGTAAGCAATTTATTTAAGGATAGATTACTAAGTGCTCACGTGGTTCAACAGATGGGGTCACCTCAGTCATGTAGGTCAAGTAGGTCATCAGAGAGGATGAAATTCAGGGTTTCTGTGCCAGCCCCAGCCACACCTGTACCTGCTTCCCTGATGAACTCATGGAAGAGCGGTGTGTCTAGGGAGCAGAGAGTCCAGGGATCTGCTCTCAACTCATTACAAAGGTCTGTCTCAACCATCAACCTCTTCCTTCACAGACCCTACCAGTCTTCATACCTAAAAAGATTGTCCAGGCTGAGAGTGTGGGAGATTCAAAAACTGGAGCCATGTTGATAAAATACAGCTGGTGACTTTTGAAAATGACATTGTTTTTAATGAAAGAGATTTAACAAATGACCCTTAAGAGTTGCTATTGAAAAGAAAGTCTATAAGGAAAATTAGCAATTTTTGTCTCCCCTTGCTCCCCTTATGAATTTTGGATTTAGAATCACTTTAAATTTGATCTGAGTCTGATTTGAAAGTTTTTACTACCTATGTGGTGCAATAAATCTTAGCAACTTCTTTATATTTCCCTTTATCATCTGTAGTTTGGTAATATAATTTTTACCTCAGCAAATTATTCTGGGATCAAATACAGCAACCTACTTTGTACTCTTTAGTACATGTTCTTAGTACTGTCCAGGATAATCTTGTGATCACCAGAACTATAGAAAAGGTAAAGATAAATAGTCAAGCTACTTTCTTCTGTAGGCAGGGACCACTTATAATCACTTCTGCATTGTGGTGTGGTCTTGAGAGACACCTTCAGGGGATAGGATTTTTCTTACCATTACGATAATTTAATAGGAAGAGTAACTCAAGAAAGACATGATGCTTATAAAGAAGGAATGAAAGTTGGTGCCTTCTCTCTTTCTTAACTCATTTCACTTCATAGCTGGATAGTACATATCTTTATTCCCCCTACCGGGGAGGCAGAAGCAGGTGGATCTCTGTGAATTTGAGGCCAGCATGATCTTATAGAGCTAGTTCCAGAACAGCCAGGGCTACACAGGGAAATCCAGCTTAAAAAACCAAAACAAACAGTTCAAATCAGGATCCCTGCTTGTCAGAGGTTATTGCATTATTCTGAAATGTCTGAGACAAACAAACAAAATTCACATTAGCTGTGAATGAGAGGTATGATTACATAATCAACTATTTAAAAATTTATCTTTTATATCAAAGATGATGTGATTAGCATTATAGAACATTTACAAAATTAAAAGAATAACCAAAGAAATCACCAATAAACACTATACTTCACACTGGTAACTTCTGGTGTAGTCTTTCCAACTATTTCTTGTAAAATGACTTTTATGTCATTGTAATCACAATATATACATATTTTATAAACTGTGTGTTTCAATGAATGATGTGAGTGGTTTTTGTAATCATATCATAATTTTCAGGTGTATTATTAAAAAATCTTTTTTTCTCTTCCAGAAGAGGGGTTGAAGGTAAACTAAGCAAGTGACTTAACACTTGATTTTGAGTTAGAGTCTAAGTTAGGTAGGCTAGTCTAGAACTTGTTATGTACCAGTGAACTGAAGCATCCAGAAGAAGCCACACTTGTGTCAAAGATTCTTACAAGGCTCATTGACTAATTAGAACGTCTGAGATTGTGGAGAGCTGGGATGTTGCAGGCCGACAACTGAAATATATTGGGTGACTTTTAGCACCTTTGGTAGCCATTCACTGACTACTTAAATCCTGTGACTGTAAGATAAGTGAGATTTGGAATGTAAGTATGATGCAGAATGGTGACAAGACCTACTTAATAAAGATGAGAGCTGAGGCTGTGATGCTTTTCTTTTAAAGCTCCAATGAGTTACCTTTTCATCCGATCTCAACAGAAAATACTAAGACATATTGACATTTATTCATTTATTTATTATCATTTTACCAGCTTTTATGGTAATGTAACTTACATTACATTGTAATTACAACAATATTCTTTCATCATGTACCTGAAATTGTTATTTTTAGTTTGTTTGAAAAAGAACTATTAGGCCAACTGATTGATCTACTAGCTACATCTGGGGCATCTTAGAGCAACAACAATTCCCAAGTCTAAGATAGGGCCTGTGTAATGTGAATCTGGAACATCAGATAACACAAAGCAAGGATGTAATCCATGATCACTAGGACAGTATTAGAAGTAGTCAGGAACCAACTTAAAGATCCTCCCATTACTAATCAAAACAACAACAACAACACACACGCACACACACACACACACACACACACACACACACACAGGATTCTCTTACTGTCAAAGATGGAAAAATGTTAGTAATGAAACAGGTATTGAAATAAATGGGATATGTTTACATCCATGTAGTCAAAATAATGCCATTATGTAGGCAGATATTTCTGTCCCACCAGCTTGCTCCCAAATAAATGCAAGGAGGTTTCTTATTAATTATGAAAGCTCAGCCAATAACTTAGGCTTGTTTCTAATTAGCTCTTATAAATAACCCATTTCTATTCATCTACACATTGTCATGTGACCCATAGCTTTTACTCTTTTCTTGCAAGTTCTTTTCTTGCATGTCTGTTCCCTTTCTTCTGCTGGTGACTCCACCCTTCTTCACAGAGTTCTGTCTATCTGGCTCTCATGCCTATATCTCCTGCCTTGCTAATGGCCATTTGGCTTTTTATTAAACCAATCAAAAGGTGCCTTGGCAAAGACATCTTCACAGTGCACAATAACATTATCCCACAACATTTCTTCCCTTTTGTCTAAATAAAAAGGAAAGGATTTAACTTAAGCACAGTAAAACTATAGGCAATAAGAACAATTATCAGTAATAATTACATTTACAATGTTCAGTACATTTGTATTTGGCAATTTTGGAGAAAGCACTCTATTAGTTATTCTGTCTTGGCGAGTCCAAAGTTCTGTATCTAATTTATCATATATCATAAGTAAGAAAAAATATAACTATGACTATCTCATCTTTAACTCCATCAAAATTCCAGAAGGATGTAATATTACCTTAATAAACAGGATGTGCAGAGTAAGTAACTTCCAACACTAAAAGAAATGACAGAAACAGTTGGCTAACTGGACAGTCTCCCCAGGTTCCTCTTTGATGTTGGGGCATCCAACTTTGGCCTACAGGCCTAGATTATCTGACAGACTTTCTTGAGAAACAGGAATTTTTTTCCCTTTTCAAAATTTTTTTATTTCATTTTACATTCCAACTACAGTTCTCTCTCCCACCCCCTTGCTTCCTTCCATCTTCTCACTTTCCCTTTAGCCCACACCCAGTCCACTCCTCATGGCTAAGGGCTCCCATGAGGAGTCAACATATTCTGGAACAATAGGTTGGGGCAGGGCCAGGTCCCTCTCCCATGCGATAAGACTGAACATGGCATCCCAACATAGGGAATGGGCTCCAAGAAACTAGCTCATGTACAGGGTTTATATTGTGGTCCTGCTGCCAGGAGCACCTCAGACAGCCCAAGCTTCACAACTGTCTTCCATCTATGGAGGGCCTAGATCAGTGCCCTGGAGTCCCCACAGTTGTAGGTCTAGAGTTCATGAGTTTCCATGAGCTTGATTTAGTTGTCTCTGTAGATTACTCCATCATAATCTTGACCTCCCTTGCTCATATATTCCATCCTCCCTCTCTTCAACTGGATTCCCAGAGCGTGGCCTAGTTCTTGGTTGTGGATCTCTGCATCTGGTTCCATCAATTACTGGATGAAGACTCTATGACGATAGTTGGGGTATTCATCAATCTGATTACAGGGGTAGGCCAGTTCAGGTATCCTCTCTACTATTGCTAGAAGTCTTAGCTGGGGTCCTCTTTGTAGATTTTTGGGAGTCACCCTAACACCAGGTTTCTCCCTAAGCCCATAGGATTCTCTCTATTAGGATATCTCTTTTATTGTTCTTCCACTGCATCCCTCCTTGCCTAGGCCATCTCATTCCCGCCTCTTCTCAACCCCCACCCCTTCCCTTTACCCTCAGTTTGCCCCATAGACATCTCATTTCCTTTGTCAGGGTGATCCATGTGTCCCTCTTAGGGTCCTCCTTGTTACCTAGCTTCTCTTATCTTTTGCTTTACATCTAATATCCACCTATGAGTGAATACATACTGTATTTGTCTTTCTGAGTCTGGGTTACCTTACTCAGGATGTTTTTTCCCTAGTTTGTCCATTTGCCCTAAAATTTCATGAGGTTATCATTTTTTTAAATCATTGAGTAGTATTCCATTGTGTAATTGTGCCACATTTTCCTTATCCATTCTTCAGTTGAGGGACATCTAGGTGGTTTCCAGGTTCTAGCTATTATGAATAATGCTGCTATGAACATTGTTGAGCAAATGTCCTTGTGGTATGATTGAACATCCTTTGGGTAAATGCCCACGAATGATATCTCTGGGTCTTGAGGTAGATTGATTACCAATTTTCTTAGAAATTGCCATACTGATTTCCAAAATGGCTGTACAAGTTTGCACTCCCACCAGCAGTGAAGGAGTGTTCCTCTGACTCCACATCCTCTCCAACATAAGCTGTCATCAGTATTTTTAATCTTAGCCATTATGAAAGGTGTAAGATGGTAACTCAGAGTCATTTTGACTTGCATTTCCCTGATGATTAAGGGCGTTGAGCACTTCCTTAAATGTCTTTTGGTCATT